CTGAGAGCTTCCTTCGTTCCCATTACTAGCTGCGGCTTTTAGCTCTCTCTTGTTCTTCACTTTCTGTGCCCAACCAACGAGACCAACCTGTACATTCTCCTCGAATATCGCTTTCTTGAAGTTACTTCCCATCTGTTGTAACATAAGAAGAGGATCAGTTTTTCAGACAAATCTCAAGAAAAACCAAACCAAAAGATTGTGAAGCTTTTAAATAGAGCTTATTAGCTTTTACCTGTGAGACAATGGCATAAAGAGGCAGTGTACTGTAACTGCAAAGCACTTGAATGAAGACCCTACAGAGAAGAAGAAACATATCAGTATTGGCCGAGATATATATGAGAAAAAGCAAAAAATTAATCAAATGATTCAAATCTACTTGCTTACCCGATAACCAATCTTGGGACAATGTATCTCACTTGTCCCATAATGCACGAGTCGAAGCCGTATGTCACCTACAACATATACTCATTAGTCTTTAAATATATCAGGTGAATCCTGGAATTTTGTTTTTGTTAAAAGAATCAGTCTGACTTACCCAAATCCAAAAGAAAAACGCAATCTCGAAAGCATTTTGGAAGAGGATAAAATGGATTAAATAGAGAACAATATGAGGTTTGCTGAACCAGAAATGCTCATCTGATGGTTTCACCACTAACTCTCCTTCAATGGCTATATGTTTCTCTGCAACCTCATGAGCTAACTGCGAAATCACATGCTCCAACTTTGTTCCCACAGCAAGAAGCAGCTACAAAAATTCCAAAATAAAGAAAAAATGAACAGTGATACATTTACCGTAAAGAAGATTTAGCAAATTAAGAGAAAAGAAAAACAAATGACTCACAATAAATGGAATGAATGCGATCCAGAAATACGTGTGCCATCCTGCACGATAAAGAAACGTAGCATCAATATATATATATACGTGCTCCACATTATATTTAGCAAATGTTAACTAAAGTCTACGGTACTTTGTCTTCATTTAGATCAAAACTAGACATAAAGAAGCTTAGTTTTTGCTATTCATACCATTAACATTCAGCAACAAGAAGATGACGACGAAGATCCAAAGATACCAACTAATACCAACTACTTGTTTGAAATCATCCTCAAGAGCACGCATCATGTACTTGTGGAAATTAAGCTTGGGGTTTGCCTTACAATGTGTCTGCAGAATACCAAATAAATGTTAGTCTAAATGATCAAAACTTTATTTTGATTACAAATTTCCAAAATTTTCAAAAAAAACAATCAAGATTTACCATAATGAAACCAAGGCGCAAAGTCACATAATCTGATTTCGTCACAGACCCGTAAAATTGCTTGAAAAATGATTGCTGTCATGTAAACAACATTACCACAACATTCAGGTATTTCCACCGGACAAATAACCGATATAAAAAACAAGCACTGTAATTAAACAACATCGTACCGTCCATCCAAGGAAAATTGAATCTTTACCAATACCAAGAAAATGCTCTTTGATAAAAGCATGGTTCTGTACATGAGTGACCCTTTTCTTTTTAAGAGCTGCAAAACAGGCATATCGAATAATCAAACAATGCATACAAAGATTTCACATCGTCTTCTTGGATTTTGTTTAAATCTAAAAGAATGAAAAAAACTTGTGCAATTCAGTACCTGTTTCGGGGTCAAAACTCTCGTCAGCAATCATATCCTCCCATTTCTTCCATTGATGAATCTTCATAAACATAGAAAACACAAATCAATCACAGTTTCACACAAGAGAAATCCGCATTTAAGTGTTGAAAACTATATGGTTTATGCTCACCCTTGTGCTACCGAAAACCACGGTAAGAACACAGAATGTCACATGAGATATTGCAAGGACGAAGATGAAGATATGTAGATGGTGCAATGCCTCAAGCGAAAGCAAAGGTACTTTTCCCTGAAATAAACACAAAAAGGAAAATAAACCGAGGACGAGAAGTAAGTACTGATTTAAGCAAAGAGAACTCCTAACAAAATCATGACGAGCCCTAAACCTTTACCTTTTGGCTACAGTAACCAGCTGCAGCAGCAGCATGTTCAGCAAGTAAACGCCTAGTGGTTTCACCAATAGGGAAAAAGGTCTGAAAATGTTCTTTCGCCGTTACATTTTTATGTTCACTTGCTTCAGCTTCTAGTCTTGAATTACGTGAACATGGAAGCATATGGATAACCAAATTTTCTTTCACACAGAATTTGGAAATGAGTCCTTGAAACACCGTCAGTAACAGCGATATAAATCCTAGCAACATCAACTCTGCAAAAATCCCCCCCCCCCCAAAGCAACACAATAAAAGCAGTAAAGATTTGAACTTTTTAAAGACTTAAGCTGCTTAGAATCTGAATTAACTACATTTCGATTAAGATTTTATCAAGCAATTTGGTCCAATATAAACCACCTGACAACATCAACTCTGCAAAATCCCTAAAAAGACTTATCATAGATCCACCAATTTACACCAATTTACACCAAAGCAACACAACAAAAGTAGTAAAGGTTTTAACTTTTCAAGACTCAAGCTGCTTATAATCTGAAATGGTCTTTTTATCGAACAATTTGGTCCAATATTAAGGAATCAAATTCGTAACACTGCAGACACTAATAGTGTACAACTAACATTCAAACACAGTTTCATTTATCGAAATTGTAATAAACCCAGAACACACAAAAAAAAAGACCAAAATTGAAGAACAATTTCGATTGAAACTATGAATCACTGTTCCGACAAAAGAATCAGTGGAAAAGAACCGTGGAACCCACCGACAAACACTAAAACTAAAAAAGAGATGAATTTTTGTACCTTCTTTAACCTTTTGGAGTGCTTCGTAAAGAGGTTTTTGCTTCTTCTTTTTAAGAACAGTACCGAAATGGTGAAGCAATCTCTCCACCGCAAGAGAAATCGCGACGATGACTGTACAAACTCCGGCGACGACCCACGTCGGAGTAAATTCAAGTGACACCCCTTCTTCTCCGTGACCCATTTCTCAGTTTGTCTTTGTTACCCCCACCAAATCTCTCTGTAATTCCAAAAAAAAAAACAAAAAGAGAATTTTCAGATTCGATTTTTGGATTTCGGAACAAAATTGAGACAAAGGAACAGTCTTCTCTGTACCACTGGAAACTCGGGTCGAGGAAGAGAATAGGAAATGGGTGTTGAGAATTTTTTTTCTTGAGTTATTTATTTTCTCTTCTTTGTTAGCAATCATAAACTTTAATTATGGTAATTAATCTATTGATTTTTTTTTGTTAAAGTAATTAATCTATTGATTGATAACAATTATTCGTAATTCAAGTTCAAGTGATATTAAATCCGTGCGGCAAATTAGGAAACGCGTTTTGGACTTTCCAGTTTCCACAATATAAGTA